TGGTTTGCCAGCGGAATTTTATAAGACTTATCAGGAAATATTGAGTTTTCATCTTTTAGAAGTTATGAAGTTATGCTAAAGAAAAGAATACCAAAAACATGGTCAGAAGCATACATTACACTTATACCAAAGGAAGGTACAGACATGCTGCATGTTAAAAATTATAGACTTATATCTCTATTGAACTCAGACTATAAAATCTTTGCTTCAGTTTTGGCAGAAAGACTAAAAAGATACTTAAATAATTTTATCCATACTGATCAAAATTGATTTCTGCCAAAGAGACAAATCAAAGACAATGTGAGAATTATTTTGGATACTCTGGAATATTATGAAGCACACCTTGAGAAGCAAATGGCCTTGATGTTTCTAGATGCACAAAAAGCCTGAGTTGGCGATTTATTTTACTGCAATTGATACAAATGGGCTTTGGTAAAAAAAATTATCCAAGCCATTGAAACAATATACCATGAACAAACTGCAAAGGTGATGGTGAATGGAGAATTAACAGAATTCATAGATATAAGAAAAGGGACAAGGCAAGGCTGTCCATTGTCACTTCTGCTGTTTGTGTTAACATTGGAAGTGTTGAACAGGAATATCAGAGAAGAAAAAGAAATAAAAGGAATGAAAATTAAAAAGGGAGTATAAATTGCAAGCTTTTGCAGATGACCTGGTATTTATATTAGAAGACCCATTAGAAACAGCACCCAAATTAATAGAAAAAATAGAAGAATATGGAAAAGTAGCAGGTTTGAGAATAAATAAAGACAAAACAAAGATATTAACAAAAAATATATTAGCAAGACAAAAGAAAGAGTTGGAAGAAATTTTTAAAATACAAGTCACAAACAAGGTTAAATATTTAGGGATACATATTACACCAAGATGTAGTACACTGAAGGAAGATAACTATGTTAAACTCAAACAGCAGATTGCGACAGATTTGATAAAATGGGAAAAACTGCAACTCTCATTGATTGGGAGAATATCCACAATTAAGATGAATATATTGCCTAGAGTTTTATATTTATTCCAGACAATTTCTATTCGACTAGGGAAAGAGTTTTTTGAAGATTTAAATAGAATTGTGTTGAAATATATTTGGCAGGGTAAAAAAGCAAGAACAAAATTAAAACTGTTACAAGATGCAAGAATAAGAGGAGGGTTTGCCTTGCCCAGTTGGGAGCTATATTACCAGGCGACAAGTTTGATATGGGTAAAGGAATGGATAACAGTAAGGAACAGTAGATTATTGACTTTAGAAGGCCATGACTTGCTGTTGGGATGGCATGCCTTTCTCTGATATAAGGGAACTAAAACACAGGTATTTTAGAAGACATATTTGAGAGGCATTGTTTTTGAACTAGGAGAAGATAAAAAGACAATATTACTTAAAAATTCCAACATGGATATCAAATATTTAAGCTTTTTCTTATCCAATAATATATAAAAAGGAACAAACAGTTAGATATGGTGAGATATTGAATGAAAAGGGTGAACTTAAATCTATGCAAGCATTGGAAGAACAAGATGTAAAAATGAATTGGTTTTCATATTTGCAAATACAATCTAGGTTTGATAAAGACTCTAAAGCAGAAGGTATTTATGATAAGTTGACTGATTTAGATAAAATTTTGATGAAAGGTAATTTAAAAACTTTATGGACATCTATTAGAATTTAAATTGGAGGAGGAACAAGTTAAAGAAACGCTGATTGCTTGGGGGAAAATTTTGGATATGGGATTGATTTAGAAAAATGGCAAAAATTGTGGTCTCAAAATTATAAAATGACAATGTCAACTGCATATAAAGAAAAACTGTATAAGATGTTTTACAGGTGGCACCTACCCCGATGAGACTTGAGAGAATGTTTAAGAATACATCAGATAAATGCTGGAAATGTCATCAGATACCTGGTTCATACTACCATATGTGGTGGACATGTTCGGACGCAAAGAAATATTGGACTAAAATCCACACATGGTTGAAAAAAATGATAAAACAACATATAGACTTTAAACCAGAGATCTTTTTATTGGGAGTCATACTGGACATATACAATAAAGAATTGAAATATTTGATTGTAAATGTTTTAACAGCGGCTAGAATTGTATTTGCGAAGAACTGGAAAAATGACAAAATACCTATGCAGGAGAAAGTTATTAAAAAAATTATGGACTGTGCTGAAATGAGTAAACTGACATTTGAAATTAGAGGACAAGAAGACAAGCAATTTTATATGATAGGGAATTTGTTTTATCAATGGTTGGATAAAAAGACATGGTAAGGTATAGATAATTTTGTTATAGAAGCTTAATAGATTGATACAAAATATAATGTAGACATACATAACAACTGGATGACAGCATAATACAATATTGATGGAATAAATAGCAGGATAATTAATAATAAATAGATAAGCATATGTTAGTTTGACAATGTGAGATTGATATAAATTGTGAACGATTATGAAAGGATCGCACAAAAGATTCTAAACCAACTGACACACTGTATGTACAAAATGGAAGATGGCTTTATGTTTTTTTAATGTATTGTCTGTGTATGTTTGTCTTAAAATAAAAATTTTTATAAACAAAAAAAAGTTGTATAACTACAGCTTGAGGGCTACAGGAATTCTGGTCAAAGATTTGCTTGTGTTCTCAAGCACTCTTCCAAAATTGTCCCTTAATGATAATTTTAATGAAGTAAAAGGAGAAAAGAATGAAAGAGGAATAAACAAATTAACCATAATGAATGCATTTCATGAAAACCTAATGAAATCAAGAACCCTAGTTTTGGTTCCAGCCCCACCTACTTTTAACACTGCAACTTCTGACATACCATACAAAGACCAAAATACTTTCCAGTCTGAAAACATTTACAGAACTTTACTTTAAATCCATCAGTAAGATTTGACCCAGATACAATGGATCTGCCTCCATGAGTTGTCATGGAATCTATTATTTGGGTTTTCTATTCATCAGTTAGGGATGACCTAGCAACATAATGAATGAGCCATTTGTAACAGCTAAAAACTTTTGTCCTTATACTGCTCACAAACTTATAGCAATTTTTGCCTGGGTATTTTTTTCCCTAAAAAGATATTTTCCCCCAAAAGTGACTGCATTTGTTATTTTGTACCTGTCCAAAATAATAATTAGGATGAACATGGTAACTATTAAAAATTTTGCAAGCCAAACTGATAACACAATTGTGTGTCCATGAGTAATATTTCTGCTAAGGAACCAATAGGCACAATATTTGATATCAAGGCAAAGACCTCACTGAATCATGATGCAAGCTTCTGAAATAATTATACAAAGAATTTTCATGTTGGAGAAAAGCAAACCGCTGAAGTCCTAATAGGTCAGAAACAGAAAGGGAGTTAGAGATCATCTAGTCCATCTTCTGAACTGTAGAAAACTTCAGTATGCTGACAAAGGGTCACCTACCCTTTTTCTATTCACATATCTCTGTAAACATATACTGTATATATTAATGGCGCAACAAGAATTCTGAGAACAAACATTTTCAAAAAGGCTTTTGAAATTGACACAATGTTAAAAATTAATTTATTTCAATATGAGATGTGTACACACACACACACACACATATATATATATGTGTGGATCTTTGGTTATTCAGGTTTTCTCCCGCGTAAGATTGGAAGTATCTAGGCAACATTTCGATGAAGTCTCATTCATCATCTTCAGGCTTGTGTCTTCGGCTCTGTGCTTCTCAGAGCCGAAGACACAAGCCTGAAGATGATGAATGAGACTGAAGATGCTTCACAGAGCCGAAGACACAAGCCTGAAGATGATGAATGAGACTTCATCGAAATGTTGCCTAGATACTTCCAATCTTACGCAGGAGAAAACCCGAATAACCAAAGATCCACATGCAAATACCTGCGAGAACCTCAGAAAACATATATATATATATGTATATATATATATATCACAGACGAACACAATACAGAAGCCTGATGATGGCAGATGAGATTCTGCTGAAATGTTGCTACAACTTTAAAAGCACAACTATAATGACGTGGGAAAATACCCGAACAAAGCTGAATACCATTAATGTAAGTACCCACGAAAACTTAAGAAAATATATATATTTTATACATACTTACATACATGCATACATACATACATACATACATATATTTACACACACACACACATACACATACATACACACATACACACACACACACACACACACATATATAGTTTTTTTCTGCCTTGTGCTATTAATAGTATATTATGCTGGTCTATTCAATTGCTTTCTAATCCACTTAAACAGCAACTAACAACAGGTGCTGGATTAACAGCTAAGATTTGGAAGGGGAAAGCTAAGGAAAAGGAAAAAAATAGTTAATGAAAGTCTTGAAACCATATAGGCAGGAGGCAGTAAAAAAAAAAAAGCAACTGATCCTGCAAGCGACTGACTTGAGAAGGAAAATGATTAATAAAAGAACCAACCGGACTGCTTCTAAAACACTTTTTAAGCGATAGAAAGGAGATTAGGGAGGGGTGCTGCAGCTGGGGCAAAGATTTTCCTTTAAGAAAGCTGGGGGTTGTTGTGAAGAAAGAAAGAACGCCTTGCTAAATAGCATCAACCCCAGTATACATCCTCCTTTGAAATTCACAAGGGAGGTTGATGGAAGAAAAGTTTTCACTGCTGAAAAAAAAAAAACACCTCAGGGGACTGGGAGAACAATGGTAGGGGACAGAGGGGGAGAGGAAAGGAACACGTGGGTCAAATAATTGCTTCCCACAATCTTTTTACTTTGAATAAATCTGCAGCACATGTATTATTGGCAGCAGTTTGCAAATTAACCTAGTGAAATTCCGATAGTCAGAATGAAATCTGATCCCGATTTCACTTGGATTGAGAACATTGCAGTTTTTGCCACTTGTTTTTCAGGCTATTTAAACAAAGGCAATCCCAAAGCCATGCAAAACTCAGAGAAGAGCAGGCAATCCACTTACCTTGGGCATCGCCTCCGGATGTCAACACAGCAATGGCCTTGCCGATCCCCATCGTGTCGCTATGCTCATGTTTTAAAGGTGTATGTGCCATTCTCCGAGCTGGAAGATCAACAAAAAGTTCTTAAAAGAGGCTGATGGAGAAAAAGCCCGTTGTCTTCCCGGCCTCCCTGTTCTTCCTCCCGCTAGGAACGGACACGCTGCCTCTGAGGTCCAGAGTGCCCTTCATAGACCTCTGTTGTTGCTTTTCAAAGTCTTCGTCCCGCCTCCTCTCTGGTCAATGATAAGTGAGACTGTCACATGTAAGTGATCCTTAAAGCTGCGTCAGCCACACCTAATCCTAAAGGGTACATGGCCAGCTGTCCTGAGTACCAATGAACAGGAACTCTGAAATGATGTTACATTATTAGCTGTGTTTTGCTTAGGGACTTGTAGGGACTTGGGGAGAACTGGAGGTGGATTAGAGTCTGTATAGGAAAGAAAGAGGCAAAGGAAGCACTCCTGTATCCCTTTTCTTTCTAAGTGCCATTAAATTCAACAGGACTTACTCCCAAGTAAACATATGTAAGAAAGCAATGTTAAAATTACAAATATTTCGTTTTAAGAACAGCAGAACAAGGTGTGCCGGAAAAGCCACTTTAAAAACCAAGGATGGATCATGGAGTATGAACAGAAGGATGGATCCTTAAATATATTCAATCTTAATCTTAAAACCTAATTTTTATGATGTCTCATGGCACACAGTCAGTCAAGCTATACTGCATGAGTCAAAAAGAGGGCTGTGAAAATATCTACAGACCCCTCACATCCCAGACATAAACTGTTTCAACTCCTTCCCTCAAAACGACCCTATAGACTAGAACACTGCACACCAGAACAACTAGACAGAAGAACAGTTTTTTCCCGAACGCCATCACTCTGCTAAACAAATAATTCCCTCAACACTGTCCAACTATTTACAAAGTCTGCACTACTATCACTAATAATCTTTTCATCACTCCTTATCACCCATTCCCTCCCACTTGTGACTGTATGACTGTAACTTTGTTGCTTGTATCCTTACGATTTATATTGACTGTTTCCTAGTATGATTTGATTGCTTATTGTACACTTCCATTATAAAAAAATCAATTTCCAATAATTCCCAAAACAAAGGGTGCCTTTTTGACAGCCACTGCCCAGTGACTTATATTCATCAGCCCTTTTTCCCGACAAATTCACGAGTATATTAGCATATATTGTAAGGTAAGAAGAAAAGCATTTATGTATTATTACAAAAGGGGAAGGCAAGATGTGTTTCAAACATTTTGAATTACAGTTTTTATAATCTTTTACTGTATACCTTGGTAGTTGGGGTGATGAGAAAATCCAAAAGTACCCTTCCTAAAGATCAAACCCTAGTTCAAGCCCTAGCTGCTTTGATAAATCATCACTGCAAGCGTTGAAACCTGCCAAGGGATATAGAAGTTTGGCACAAGCTACTGTATTTATGGCACCACTGATATTTATTTCCCAGTTGCACAATTATCTGTAACCTGGCAGGAGTCATGCTTCAGAGGCAGCTGTCTGCAATGCAACAAGATCAAGAACTCAGTCAATGCAAAAAAAAAAGGGGGGGGGGAAATACAGGTATAAATGCATTAATCTTATTGGTGGTTTCAAACCTGTCACTTTCTGGATGTATTAGGTTAATAATCCACATTCACTATAATTCTGGGATCAGCTGTAGTCAGAACCCATCCAGAATGTCATTGTTCTTTCAATATTCAGAGTTCTTGACCTGTTTTCATCCATTACCTAGCAGAGCCCATCTTGCCTCCCACGTGCCCGGCTCAGCTTCATTCAGATAACAGAAGTTTATCTCAGAAGCCAAATCCATGATGCAGCAAACACCTCTTCTGCCTCTCTTAACTCTTCAGGTACCCGGTATGAGCATGAAGTAATGAAGTATGGTGTTGCTAGGAAACCAAGGCAGCCTATTCCCATTTCCCAGGTCATAACTATCTGCTGATGAGCCTCAGTGACAGCATCACAGATTCAGGAACTGAGAATGTCTCTCTGCTCTTGAGCTTCAATGCACCAGGAAGGGTGGCACTTCATTTTGAAAGGACTGAGCATGCTTTGTTTTTGTTATTCCCTCTGCTAATTTTGTAAGATGTTGGTTTCTGGCCCATGAGACAAACTCCTTCCTTTCATGTTTTCAAAGCTAAATTTGGAGCAGGCTTCTAACAGTCACATTTGCAGCATGGAAAAAAAGGGAAGAATGCTTGCTAAAGATCTGGATATCTTTTTTAAAAAGGAAATCTTATTTTTCTATCCCCTTCCTACTTCAAATTAATAGTTCCTCTCCTTTTATCTGATGACATGTAAGCCCATTCATCTTTTCTTGTTATAGTTTTTAATAACTCTCTGTAAAATTGTTTATGGATTGTAAGCCACCCGGAGTTGCTTTGCAGAGTGAGATGGGCCGCATTAAAATATAATAAATAACGGTAACGGCATTTTACATATACATCTGTTCCATGAAGATGGCTTCTAACAAATATGATTGACTTGTGAGATCAATAGCAATAGTACTTAAAATTATACACATCCCCACAGCACTTTACAGTATTCTCTGGGCAGACTTGGCCATGGTCAGTTGGCTGTGGCGAGTTGGCCATGGCAAATTGTCATAGGCCTAGCTGGACTAACTCTGCCCAGTCTAGGAGTCTATGACAATTTGCCCACAATATTGTATTCTAATCACTGAATCACCAGGGTTCAAAATAATGTTTTGCATAATACAGCTAGGTTTCAAGTAATACTATGAAGTGGTCCCATTATTCAAAATTTCACTATTCAAAGTTATAATTATATACAAAATATGGTAATTGCTTCCAGTCTGATGAAAATAGGCAATGAAAAATGTTAATAATGAGCCTCTTCTCTTTTTTATAACATTTTCATCTGAAGGAATCTTCCTTTGGTCCATGTTGTTAAGGGCTCTTAAAACAATTAAAACAAATTATCAGGCATCAGCACATGCACAGAGAAAGATAAACAAGTGCAGACTGAAGAAGCAACACCTTAAACTCTTACCTGACCTCAACTGAGCATGGAGTAGCCTGACATTAACTCAATTTTGGTTTCCATTAAATATGATTCTATTGTAATAATTTGTACTAAATCAAATATTGCATTATTCAGTCGCACTAATCGCAACTTAGCTTTATGCCCCATTCCTAGCATTTATGATAGTGAGGTTTGACTTCCCAGGTTACAAAGTTATGATGACTAGCTGCTTTCTTTCAATGTAAAATCTAGATGAGATAGGCAGCACACAAATCTAAGAAATAAAAGTTTTTCCTATTTTCTAGCTAGAATTTTAAACTGAATTTTGTGATTTAAGCTGTAGAAGGCTAAACATACCAAGGCCTCAAGCCCTCTCCCTACTGCTATGATTGCAGCTCACTATAAGTTTATTTTATATATTGGGTCTCCACTTATCACTCACTAGCTCTATACTGGTGCTTTGCTATGAAACTGTGATCAGGTTTAGTTTTGGGGGAGGAAAATAAGGAAAAAAAATGTGCCTACCAGCATCCATCAGTATTCATCTGGATAATGTCCTGTCAGTGTGTGATTTGAGGGCTGTTTGGAAATTGAAACATGAAAACTGAGTTTTTTGCTTTGTGAGCAAGGAGAAAGGAAGGAGCCTGGGCGTGGCTTAGCTCAACTGTTCTGTACTAAAACTGGTTGCTGCTGTGAAACTAAAACTGAAACTCCTCTCCTCTGCTTGTGTTTTGCATTTGGAACAGATTTCTTTTCAGGTAGGGGAGGGGGAGTAGTTAATATACAAAATACTAATGCTCTAATGGTCATTTCGAAAAATCCTTCCTTAGTGAACACCTAGAAGGCCAAGAGGAACATGTGTGCCAAATTTCAAGTTTGTAGGCTTTATGGTTCTGGAGATTTTGTGATAATGTGTGAGTGGTATTTCCCTTTTATATATATAGAAGATAATTCTGCATACAGCCTTCTTCCATCTGACACTTGTGGGATGGATTGGATAATGAAGGAGACAATAGGAACTGTAGTCCAAATTTCTAGACCCGAAAAGCAGTCTGAGAAATAGGTACAAAGCAGACATAAACTGGGGAGTGGGAGCCATTACAAACACAAGAGAAAATACTTCTTCAGAGAAAAGTTAATCCGTGGTGGACAAATCTTGCTGCAATCTTCTGGATGCAGTACAAAAATCAGATATCAGATATTTGAGCAGGCAAAAACTATAACATCAGATTCCTGATTATTATTATTTTTTTGGTCACCAGACTAACAAGGGTCTTCTCCTACAAATTGCAGCAGCTTGGCTGCTACACCACTCTTTACATTCTTGTTCAGGACCTCCATATAGTCCAATGGTTCCCAAATCATGTTTCACAATATATTATGGGTTTACTTCCCAGATCATATATGCTAAACTACCGTCTGCATATGTGTTTACTGAATAAAAAAGTGGGTATAGACATAATACTAAGCTATGCATGTGGGATAGCCAGTCTTTTTAACTCTATTTTTGTAGCCACTCTCCCATCGTTGTACTGCCAAAATAGAATGTTGAAATCACACTTGGACAGTATGTTTAGGTAAAAAACAAGTACTGTACAAAAATCTCAAATAGGGCAGTTAAACTGCCAATAAATGTATCCATCAATTACAAGAGTGAACGCTGGGGTCTTGGCCTATCTTTCTGGTGATGTAACAAGACCATCATGTGTCCTGTCACCAAAACATTAAAAGTATTGAAGTATAGCCCATGACATTACAAATATTATTCATTTTTACATGTCCTTTTACAAACCAGAATGATTGGATCCATATAACAATTATACTCCCAAATGGTTGAATTATATCTCATGTGGGGATAAAATATGCCCTAAAGGCCTGTTTTAATATGGTTCTGGTTCACATAGGTTGAGTGATATGAGTAACTTTTTTATCGTTATTACCATCTTGTTAAATTTATCTTTTGCTTTTGCTTATGGAACTCAAGGTGATAAACACGGCACCCCATTTCCCCCCAAAATAAGCTTAGGATTCAAGGGAACAATTGGTGAAATGTTATCGAGTAAGCCCAGAATGGACATAAACCTAAAAGTTGAACCACAATGACTTTTCACCTAGGAATATGTGAAACTGGATGCTATGGCTGGAAATACACCATCATTAACAACCCTAACTTAGCATTATGTTTAAAGAAGCCCTATGTCAAAACAGAAAATGATCTGCCCATAACTCTGCCAAGGTGTGGCCAGTGCCATTGTATGAAGGGAGGGAATATAGAATCCTTGGTATTTCATGATACAGCTGCAAGTGATTAAGGACAGAGAAATTCTACAGCATCATAATTTCTAAGAAAACTCAGTGCCTTCAACGACCAAATTTTAATTTTTAAATTGTCACTTACTTGCTGCCTAATGCAAGTGAGATTCCTTGGAAAGTGACATACTTCTGTAAAGCAGGTGACAATTTCCTCCTCTATTCATCCCTAAACATTCTGTGTGACAAATAATTAGCATCTTATTCTCTTTCAAAACTTACAGGCAAATTGTAATTTTTATAAAACAGAAGGAAAAAAGTACATAGGGAATTATGTAAACTAAATTGCACTTAAATTTATTTAATGTTTACATTCAAGATCCCCTGAACTTTGCCAAATCTTTTGTATTATTGCCATCCATTTTATTGAGTATGGTTGCTGGCATACCAATTCAAAAGTACTAGAGGCCCTCAACATTAAAAAAAAAATTGGTCTATATTATATTCATTCATGTTCCTTGCAAAGACACCATTTTCTACAGTATCAATGGGGGATGCTAACCCAATTTATCAGTTTAGCTAACATTGACAAGACTTAACAAATTTTAAATCCTCACATTTCTGAAATACTATCTGATCCCTGCAAAATTGATCTAGAAATCAGTACTGTTGTATACAGTATTTTATGATGTAGAACATTGCCATTCTAAAATTATGATGCAGAACTTTGTGATTCAAAAAGTCCTGATTATCCAACAGCTCTTGCCCACTCTTGTCCCAGTAATGAGGACTTTTGGGAGACAGCAAAGCAAGCGGAGATAATAATAGGCAACACAAGACACAGTGGAGGAAAAGCTAAAAGCAAACCAGATTAGGTTTTTTTTTTATTATTTTCTATGAATTCTTCATTTTGGGCCTCTTCAAACAGGGATGTTTCATCTTGTCATATCTACTGGTTCCCCTTTATCCTCTGTTTATTCAACATTATTTTAATAACCTGTCCTGAAGAAATACAAGGATTCTGCTCTTGGTCGGTGCTTTGGAGTTCACCCCTTTAAAAATACTTATTTTTATTGGCAGACATAACGGAAAGTCATTTGGGGAAGCTGGATTCCTTTAGTGACTTCATGGTTCACTTAACAATCAATGTAAAGTGGTCATAAAATCGGTCTGGTGGCATGATGACTTGCTTAACAACTGTATCACTTATCAATTGAAATTCTAGTCCCCACTGGGATTGTAACCTGACTTAGATAGAGATATGCAGGTGCTGCCGCCTAGGTAACAGGGATTAAAGAATTTTTTAAAGTCAAGAAATCTTTTGGAAGCAGATCAAATACTTCCTTAATTCATTGAATATGTTCATCAGGACTTCACCTATTTTGAAATTTTCTTCTGAAGGAGGAGGAAGGATAATGCAATTAGACTTGCAACATTCTGTTAATGTAGCCAATTCTAATAAAAATAGTTTCAGCCATCTTGTAGTTTATTTCATGATATGGTCTGCCTAGTGAGGCTCACACCTTGGGAGATTCTTCTCTTTGCTATTTAGAACCACTGCCAGAGAAGCAATAGCAGTAGCACTTAGACTTCTATACCACTTCACAGTGCTTTACAGCCCTAAGTGGTTTACAGAATCAGCATCTTGTCCCCAACAATCTGGCTCTTCATTTTACCAACCTCAGAAGGATGGAAGTTGAGTCAACCTCGAACTGATCAGAATTGAACCTCTGGCAGTCAGCAGAATTAGCCTGCAATACTGCATTCTAACCACTGCGCCACCAAGTAATCTTGGGTGAGAATGATAGACCAAGCAATTTCACTTAATTCATCTTGCATTTTCAAGATTTGAAGCTCTGGGAGCTGGAATCCAAATAAATGTAGAAGGCACTAAGTAAAGGATATGTTCTAGGGCAGATGAGATGGTAGATCTGTCCATATAGTATTTAAATTAAAAAAAAATAACAGAAGACAATGTACATGGAAATAAGGAAAGTAATTTAAACAGGTTTCTCAATGAGTGAAGGGGGAATGAATACTATGGTGCACCACTTCCAAGCAGAGGTCACATAATTTAGCAAGTAACAGTCAAGATGGACTGAATCTCTTCACATTCTCTTACAAAGACTAGAAAAAAATACCTTTGCCATGTTTTAGGAAGCAAGAAAAGACTGCAGATGTAGACTGAAGAACAAGATGAAAACAAATGCATTCAAATAAGTCACAGTATTAAGACTTATATCACTTTGCTAACTAAATATAAAATTGCATCAATTGAAAATGTTCACGAGTACTTCACATATTTTGAAGTTTTCTTCACAAGGAATTCTTGCACCAACTTAGTATTTATACACCAGCCTTAATCAGCTCATACAGCTAAGACATTTCACTGATTCAGCCTAGAGACCCATATGTAAACTCCACAGACAGATAAGCATGAAGCAGAATTGCCAAAACTGAAGCATGAGAATTTTGGGTACAGATACCAGATATTGTAATTGTTAATGTAACAGAAGGGGAAACTTACTCTATGGAGAGAAATTAACTACTGATTTTAATTCATTTGATTCAATTTAACAAATTTAGTTTTTTGATGTCACTGTTAAGACTGTGGCCAGTAGTACATATTCAAAGATTAAATAGGGCTGTCAATCTTATACAAGATGCACATGTGTGGTAAAATACTGCAAAAATATTCTGCCACATTTTACCTTCTCTCTTTACCTCAACAAATTTGCAGCACAGCACTCTCATATAAAGTACTAACTTGGAGTCAGTTTTATTTCAAAGTATTAATTAAGTTGCATAGTATGGTATATTTATCCACTTTGGGAAGATCATTATCTTTAGTCAAAGTAAACATGACTTCATTTTTTTTAATCCTGTATCGTTTTTTTCCTCCTCCCAACCTGCTAGAGCAGACAAAACAGCCTGGATTAGTTGCAAGGGGGAGGGAGAATTGCCCAAATCTCCAGTGGAAATACTTCTAGACATGAATCAAAGTGACTTCTTATCATGAACAGACCAAATGCCATTCAATGTCTGAACACCCTATGATGCTTCAGCAGGAAAATCCAGCACATTGAAAACAGGAATCCTTACTAACCTGATTGTTCTTCTTTTTCTTCGGAGAACAAATAAGTTAAAAAGATAACGGCTGCAAATGTGAGAGAGACTGAAATGAAAAGGCTGGACCCTGCTACTGAGAGGTCCAGTGAAAACCACATAACCAGGACATGAGTGCTCTCCTGTATGATATTTATAGATACTATATGAGGCTCCAGATAGCTGCTTCTGTTACACATCTTTCTTATTGGTGGATATAATAGTCATGTCCTTACACTGAAATTGTGATGCTGGCTTGCAAGTACATTCAACTTTAAAGGTCTACATTCAATCTATTCTACAGGGCTATAATAATCCTAATCTATGAATTCTATGAAAGAAAGAAAGAAAGAAAGAAAGAAAGAAAGAAAGAAAGAAAGAAAGAAAGAAAGAAAGAAAGAAAGAAAGAAAGAAAGAAAAGCAAATGTACAATAATCCAGGCAGCTCAGCAATCTCCATATACTAGACTACAGTTATTAGATTTCTATGATTGGAATCTGGAAACTCTTGAATTCTTTTGAAATCTGGAAGTCTAGAGGATTCATGGCATACATATTTTTCCAACCCATCTGGATGAGGACAGATTCAGGATGGTGGCTGTTAAGCATTTCTTCACGCATGCAGAAATAAAATCAGGCTGTAACCATCTTCCAGCAAGATAAATTGTGTTTGGAGTTAGAGTTGTTTCATCTTAAACAGCAAACCAAGTTATATCAGAGAGTCACATCACCAAATATCAGGCACATATGAGCTAAGTGTAATAAAAAAGATCAAATGTAGATATTAAAAGATTTCAATGCATTCAACTAATGTACATGGTCAGTTTTGCTATAAAAATGCATTTGCTTACCATTCTCAGCTTTTCACTCAGCAAATAACCCAGAAGAGACACCGTATTACTAATGTATTGCTCAACACGGTGAGCAATAAATTCAAACCTGTACTGTATATGCTTACTCAGAAATAAGTTGCATTATGGTCAAGCCTGAGCTTGGCTTTCACAGAAGTTCATGCATATAATTTTGACAAATCCATTTAAAACATCTCAGAGACAAAGCACCCGATGGTAAAATAGCTTTAATCCCAATCACGACCAAACCTTTATCTCAAACATTCCGTTCTGTGCCCAAGGGCAGCAATTCTTTGCCTTATTTCCAGGTGCTTCTGAGCTGCCATTTCCGAAATCTCACATCGCTAACTCATCTGAAACACACTTGGGTGCCTCTCCTTGGAAGAAACTTTGCCAGACTCGGTGAGCCCCGCCGCCCCACATGAGTTGTGGGAACACCATAGATTTCCATGCACATCTCTAAAATAATGATGATGATAATGATGATGATGATGATAGCTGTTGCCAAATTGGACTCCAGAATCTGTTTTCTAACGAGTCGGGGAAGAACCCATTAATATTCAAACGATTCACTCCATGCATATAATCCCACCCTTTGGCAATCACAGAAAACCCTCCGTTATTTCGGAACAAAAACGACCCATCTAACAAAACACACACACTCACAAACAAAACACGCGCTCTCCGATTGAGCGAACGAGAAAACGCGCACGCGCTTAAAAAAAAAAAAAAAAAGGCTGCCCAACCTCTCATGCAGCGAGCGCTCGCGCGCTCTCTCTCTCTAGCGCATGCGCAGCCTCTCCGCCGCCTACCAATTCCGTTCAAGATTCTTCGGCCACGAGCTTTTTTTTTTTTTTCTCCCCTCCTCCTCCTCCTCTCCTCCTCCTCCTCTTTGTTCCCCCGCCCCTTTCCAAGTCTCCACCGCCTCCGCCGCCAGTCTTCTAAGCGCGGGTTGATTCTGTTCCCCGGAAGAGGGGGGGGGGGAGGGGGAAACGAAGGGCGGGGCGAAGAAAACCGGAAAGGCAGTTTCGCTTCCGGCTGCGTCGGGGGCTTCCCGCCTCTTCGAATCCGGTTGGAAAGAAAGAAAAGAAAGGACCGCGCAGGCGGCGTTTCCGAGAGGGGAGAAAGAGTCAGGGGGGGGGGGGGGGGGGAAGGGGGAAAAAGGGGGGGGGGAAGGGAAGCGGTCGATTGTGCCCTTTTCCGTCATGATCGTCGGTTTAGCTTCCGGCTTGAGGGTGGGGGTCTGGAAGTGTCCCTATGGCAACTGTGCGCCTTTCCACTAATCTCCCAGGCCAGACGCGCTTCCCTCGAGAGCCCCTTTCTGTGCGCTCGCGCTCTGCTTTCCTCCCGTCCCGCTTATGAAGGTCTGAAAGGGACTGAAAGGGACAAGAACGGTCGAGTGATCGGCGAGCGCGGGAGTTTCCTCAGTGCTAACCTCTCCTGCCCTGGGAGGCAGGCCTGGCGGAGCTTGACGGTGTTTCCTTGCAAATGCTTCATATTTCGTGTGTGTGGTGTATTTTTGATCCCGAAGGTAGGTAACCTGCGTGTTTTGGAACTAAGCTCCCGCGAACTCGTATCGTTGCCTGAGGGCTGAGGGAAGTTATCACCAAAAACACATAGAAAACATGAGGTTTTGCACGCCCGGGGCATGGCATATCCAGATATAGCTCTTAACAGCGATAGCTGAGGAAGGATGGATGTGAATAGCCCAAAACAAATGTTACCCTCTCGCGCTATCCCCTAGTGCCAGCGCTCAGACTATGAGACTTTGTTGCTAAATAAGCCTGAATACTGTTTAGTATTTAGTGTATACTACGGTACATACTGTATTTAGGTAGCATAGCATATTATCTTTAGTATACATATGCAACAGAATTTCATTTTAATGTATGCCGATTATTGGAATTAGCAGGATTAAAAAATTTAAAAAAAAATAATGTGAAAATGGTAACGTTTGACATAAGAGTTGTATGGGATTGTAGAGTTTTAGGCCTCTAGTGAATGACACCACAGCTCCTCCTGTTTTACCTTTGTTTGCCTTTGTGAAAATAGAATGGGGAAATCTGAATATGGGAGGAAAATAACACAGCCAGTTGTGACTCCTACAGTTTTGCCTTCAGTACTTCACAAATTTATCATCATGAATTGCAGACTAATTTAAAAGGATATTCACATCCTGAATAACTAGTTCCACTCTTAATTTTTAGTTACATCAAGAAACACACGAAGAGTATGAGTTATACACATCTTTTTAAAAGTCAACATCGGTATAAACAGATTGTGTTTTGAAGTAAATTGTATAAAAATGTTTTGACATTGATTTATTTAGACTGACATGCTTAAGAGTTGGAAAAAATATGGGCAGACTGGGATGCTTGGCTTAAGATTTTTAGAAAAGAGGAGAGGAAACTGCCTAAAACTTGTTTGTAGCCAATAATAAACAGAGATTCTGAAAACATCTGCCCAAGACTTGCAACTTATTGATATATAAAATGATTTTAAGAGATTATTTATTTATTTTTTTGAGAAAAAAATTAAAAATCATTTTTAAACTGTTGGTTAAGTTACAAATCTTTCATAGCTTTTTTCCTAGCACACTATAAGAGGGAATGTAGAACTTGGGTAAACGGATGAAAGATGTACATTTTTTTATAATAGTAGTTTTTGTTATTGATATGGCTCATTGATATATTTTAATATGATTACATAAGAGAATATCAACCGCCGCCCCCAACCTGGTATGCTCCAAATGTTTTTGGTAGTCTGAAATAGCCCTTATCATTACCAAATTTGATTCCAGCTTTCAGAGGACGAAAATATCGTTTTTAGTGTCATCCCAAGTGTAGTAAGAGAAATGCAAAATGGCAAATCAGCAACCACTTTCAAATCCTACTGACTATATAGGAAATATTGTGGCATGAGAATCACATTTTTTTTCTTTCTACTAGGCCTTTTTAAAAATGTGACATCTGGTTCATCTGTTTAATATTAAACATTTGCTTTATCTTCTGCTCTTTTCTCAGATTCTTGAAGATTTGCTTGAGTCAGTTATGTAAGGAGCATAATAATGGGTGAGTATATGCTAAACTAATCCATTTAATTAATTGTTGATTTTAAGTTACTGTTTTAGAATCTACCATGTCAAGAAACTTCTCATTAAAGCAATGGACATTCATTTTTAGTTACGATCAGGTTTATTATTTTACATTTAAGAATTAATGCATTTCTGAACAATTTCTATAAGTAATGGTTTCCCTAATGCTGCAAAGTATTTGCTATCCAGGAGAGCAAATACACTACTTTTATTCACCCCAAAGGACACACTTGTTTCTCATTTGTGGTTTCTTTAATGATCATGAGTGGATATGCCTCAATTAGTAATTGTGGTAGATTTGTGAGAACTACCACCCAACTATTCATCTCTTGATAAACTCATTAGTGGAATTTAGTTTTAGCGCACAAGTTCTGTATATATTGCTGGATCTACTTAAAATAATCAGATTGTGAGGGGAGAACACATCCCCTGCTTTTACCATCTGTTAGGTTCACATATCTGTTAGGTTATAATGCGATTTGCTGTGGGGCAGGCAAGAGCTTGTTTTATGTGAACATAGCCATTATGCTGTGTAAACTGCAGTTCAGTTCAATGTTATGAGCTAAACCAGTCCATTTGGTTCATTTAGCATATGATTAAGTACATCATGCCTTAAGGGGGTGTGAACTAGTTATATTCAAAGGGTCCTTATCTACTCTCATATTTACCTTTCTAAAATAATATTTTAAAATATAGCTCCTTTTTAGAAGCAGCAAGTACTCACTGAAAGCTTTTTAGAAGCTTTTTAGAAGTTGATGATATTAGTGTTGCTTGATTAATGTTTTCTTCCACGTATATGTATAGTTTTCTACTTTGTTTTGTCTTCTGTTTATTTTTTTTCATAACTCCAAAATTGCAGACATTTAATCTTTGGCTCTAGTCATTATAATTGCCTTTCACTGCATTAAAATTGTGGAGAAATACTAACACACTGCCTGTATTTTGGTGTGCTTTTTTGTCTTTTTTCTATTGAAGTCTCACATGTATTCTTTAGTACTTTCTCTTTTTCTATATAGAATCTGTAACAGCAAGAAAACAAATTGCTATTTTTCTTCCTCAAATAATACACTTTTTTTAAAATTAAAGATGAAACTACTGACTGCATGAAGATGGATGCTGGGGACTATATGCAAACTAATCATACTTCTGTGTTCAAGACTTTTCCTGAGCAACAGAATGTTATTTCCGGCAACCAGCATCCACTGTCTGACAACAAGGTTTGGGAATCCGCTACTTCTGCTTTCTTATCTGTATAATGACTTTTATAAATCAATATATGTCTGATCAGAAATTAATTTTGAAATTACATTTAATAAAGCAGCTAAAACTTATCTGTGTCACTTTGGCTATTTAGATTGAGATTTATAAGATTTTAATCCTCTGCTTCTAGATATTCAAGCCTCTGTGATTAGTAAAAATGCTGAAAATTTTATTACAGAATATTTGGTATATATGGTCCTTGCTTAACACCAATTGAGACTGGGATTTTCATCACTAAGTATTATGGTCATTGGGTGAAACATTGTGTAACAGCACCATTTAGCATTACCAATTGCAGAGGTATTGCAACAGTTACCACTTAGAAGATGGTCACAAATACCATCTTTCAGCCCCATTGTAGCTGAACAGTGGTTGAATAAATGGTCATTATGAAAGGAGTACCTGTACTTATTAATTTGATCATTTTTTTGCCTTACAATCATGAACAGTAATAATATTTTGTTTATCAATTTCTTTTGTTTCCACCTAATAGCTTTCTCTGATTGACTTTTGCTTTTCCAACTTTGTTAATAATTATTTAGTACTGAAGTTCTAGATATTAATAGCCATGTCTAGATTGTTTTGTACTATTTTTGTATCTTTTGTAATAAATTTTCATTATATTTTGTAACTGCAGAATTTTAGAGGGATTAGGAGTTGCAATTATTATTTTTTAATTATGTTATTGTAACTAATGAACTTACTGAAAACATTTTAAACACAGTTTGACATTTTCTTTATTTTTTGTTTGTCTGTTTAGTTTTTATCAAACAAGTTTAACAGCTTGGCGGGACCTTCCACTTGTTTAACGGGAAATACTTCTTGTAGTTTCAATTACTATCCAGGTAAGTCTGGCTGCACTGGCTTTGAAACAGATGAAGATTCATTAGAAGATTCTAACATTTAGGTAGGAAGTCACTTGCTTTAGATTCAGTTTTACTACCATACAATTTATAATTGAATCTAAAGCTCCCATAGCTAATATAATTTGAAATGTTCTTCATAGTTTATGGAGGCAACTTTGCTGGTTGGATTACTTGGTAATTAGAAATATCAGTTGTTAACAGGAATGGGCGTTGGTAAATTTACCTGAGAATGCCCTTTCTATAGATGCTGCTCGAGAGCCCAGGATGGGTTAGACTCCTCCTGATGACATCATCAAGCTGGGTCTGTCTTGTATAAAAAGGACTGCCTGTGGGAGTTTCCTCCCAGCTTTGGCGAAGGTACTTGACAGACTGTAGGAAGTGTCTGAAAGCCAAACAGCCTCTTTAACATTAACACATCTTACCATGGTCCGGATGAAATAAGGGAGGGGCTGGGCTCTCTAGCAGCATCTATAGAAAGGGCATTCTCAGGTATATTTACCAATGCCCATTCTCCTAAATGCTGCTGTGAGAGCCCAGGATGGGACATACCAAAGCCCACATGTCCACGGGAGGTCCTTGTCCGGCAAGTCTCTCCGAAGTTGGAACCACTCACTGAAGCAACCGTCTGCGAAAAGCCGCACTCCTCAAGGCATAGGAGTCCAGATGGTAATGTCTGATGAACAGAGACAGGGAGGTCACATAGCCACTCTGCAAATCTCCACTAGGGGTGTCTGGGTGGCCCAGGCAGCTGAAGTCGAGGCACTCCTAGCAGAGTGTCCCATTAGGCCCTGGAGTACTGGAAGGGCTCTGGTTAGAAGGCCTGTGTGATGCATGCCGTAACCCACCTACTCAAGGTGGGAGGAGAGGCTTTGTTGTCCCCAATGGGAAGGGGAATGGACACAAACATGGCCTCAGTTTTGCTAAATGTAGAGGGACATCTGATGGAAATTCTAAGCCCTCTACTAACACCTAGGGAGTGCCACTTGTGCTCTTGTGTGGAGCGGAAGGGGACAGAAATCGGGTAACACTATGTGTTGGGATCTGAGGAACCCAGTATTAATCTTCGGTACAAAAGGCAGGGTCTAGATGTCTTTCCTGACAGACAAGGCTGCCAGGACTGAAATCCTTCTAGAAGGAGTGATCGCTACCAGAAATGCCACCTTACAAGACAAAAAACTGCAAGGGAATTGACCTCAGTGGTTTTAATGGAGCCTTAGTCAGCGACTGCAGTACTTTAAAGAAGTCCCATGTGGGATCTCGATGACCAGGCCTCAGGTTTGTAGCACCCTTCAGAAACCTGTGGACTGTGGGATGTCTAGACAAAGATTCCACTCCCCCCAAGGATAGAACAGAGGGCAAGGCTGCAACCTATCTCCGCAGAGTGTTAGGTGAAAATTCCTTTTCTCGGCTCTCTTGGAGGAAGTCCAGCATCTGGCAATTAAGGCCCCGGAAGGGGCAATGTCATACTTACGACACCAGTCACTGAAAGCCTTCCAGGTTGCATTGTAGATGCAGTTGGTGGAGGGTCCCCAGGAAGCTTGGATAGTTCTTATTACTCTGGAGGAATGATAGTTCCGGATCAGGGATCCCCACTCAATCTCCAGATGGCCAACTGAAGCCACTGGGGCTCTGGAAGCAATATTGGCCGCTGTCTGAGTGACACTCTTATCTACCAGAATCCTCCAAGGACTGGAGATGGAACGGTTTACTAAGTCTGCGAACCATGGCCTCCTGGGCCAGTGTGGGCTACAAGTATAAGTTCTGCTCTTCTGCCCACAGTTTCTGGAAGACCCCTGGAATCAGGGGCAGAGGAGAAAAGGCATACAGGAGTTCCCAATAGACTCCCTGCTCTAGTGCTCCCCCCCGCCTTTGATTGAGCAGAAGGGGCCTTGGGCTCCTGTGGGTGAAGGAGTCCCCTCTGGGGGATCTGGCTTGTAGTAGGCCAGCAAAGTGGGGCTGGGCCCTGTTTGAGGATTGAAAAATTCATAGCAGCCCTTCTGCTAGGTTCTGTCTGATGGCAATGGAGACTACATCTTGGATGTAGTTGGGTCTGCCACCAAATGATGGATTTGAGTGGTGAAGGCCTGCAGCGGGGGAGAAGGAAGCCTCGAGTTTAGGTTGAGAACACCTTGGGCCATGGAAGTCCAAGCTGAAGAGAGGTCCCAAGAGGCCTGTTTAAAAATTGGGGGCTGATCTGCTTAACAACTAGAGGATTGGCTGGTTGGGAAGCCTGTTGTAGTTGACCCCTCATTTACTCAATAGTTTTGCTGTTCTCTGCCTTTAATTCAGCCTGGGATGTTTTCTTAGGGTCCAAAGCTTTGGCCCTAATCTTGGCCGCCACCTCCCTTTGAACAGACTGGGAGTGTTGTCTCCTTTCTTTTGCCAGCTTGGGGGCCTTGAGAGATCAGGCCTGAAGGCTCTGTATGGGCCTTGTCTTGATCCATAATATGCATAAACAGACACAAAGGTGCTGGAAGCAATCCTCACTATGTGTTGTCTATGCAGTAGCCTGAATAGGAGCTTATGAATAGTAGAAGCTGGCCTTTGGGGGATGATGCCACCTAAAACGGTCGCTTGCTACTTTCTTTCGAAGAAGCTTTCACCACATGCAGTTGAAGAAGAAGCCTCCAAATTGGCTGCTTACAAGAGCTACAGCCCCGCGAAATCGGCAATAAAGTGAAAATTTACGATCAGCTGAGAGGCGCTGTTATCTCCTGATGCAACCATCATGGAGGCCGAAATCGGCTGAGGGAAGACTGTGGGGGAGGATCAAGGGTTACTCCCTATTTACAGTCTCCCTCGGTTGAAGAAAACGTTGAATCCTTGTTGCAGGAGAGTGGATGCCAATGATGAAAATAGCTTTCGTTTTTGCCAGCAAAACTGCTTTCAGACACCAGCTTATGGTCATCGAAAGAAACTGAGTCAAAGCTGGGGGGAAACTCCCACAGGCAGTCCTTTTTATACAAGATAGACCCAGCTTGATGATGTCATCAGGAGGAGTCTAACCCATCCTGGGCTCTCGCAGCAGCATTTAGGAAAATTTCCATTAACTGTATCCCTGGGACCTATTTTTTTTTTTCAGAATCAGGCTTCAAATTAGAAGTGTGTTCTTTTTTTAAAAAAAATATTTATTTTCAAAATACATATAAAATTTACATTTTAGCAGTTTTGTGTTAAGTGTTAGTTATATACGTACTTAAATACAACATTTACAATTCTTCTCTATATCAAACTTTATTTCTTTTATCTAACTATATATATAACATTTCCCAAACCTCATAGAACTCAGACTCTTCTTTACCTTTTAGTTTTCTTGTCAGTCTGTCCATCTCAGCACAATCAAATATTTATTATCATATTTTCTGAAGGTACATCATCTATTTTCCAGCTTTGGGCATAAGCAATTCTTGCCACTGTTAATATATGTTGAACGATGTATTGGATGTTTCTTTGGATTTCCTTTAATCATCTCCAGCCAAAAACCTTCTGGCTTAAATTCAAAATCGTACCCTGTAATTTCTCTTATCCTTCCCCCCCCCCCCCCCCAATTTTTCCCAGTATTGGAGCATTGCCACCACATATGATAGTATGTTCCATCTGTGAACTTACATTTCCAGCATTGCAGTTTCATATTAGGGTATATTTTGGTCAATCTTGCCAGTGTCAAATGCCGTCTATAAAACATCTTGATTAAATTTTCTTTATGTGCTGTTGATAATGTTAAGTTGCAGTTCTTGGTCCAAATTATCTCCCAATCTTCTAGCTGTATGCTATGACCTACATTTTGTGCCCAGGCAATCATTGGGCCCTTAACTACAACTTCTTCCATTTCTACTTGGAGTAAAAAGTTATAAGTTCTAGTGATAAATTTTTCTTCTTTACCAATTAAAATTTGGTCTAATTTGGGGGGTTCTTTTTCTATTCCAAATTCCTCCGTATCTTTTTTATGTCTAATTTTTATCTGCATGTATGGCCACCAATCCACAATTATATCTTGTTCTTTTAATTTTTCTGTTTTCAAACTCCCCTGATTATCCAATAATTCCTTGCATCTAATTTTTTTGTTCTCTGTTGTATTGGGGTAAATCATTGCTTCTCTTGGTGACACCCAGTCCGGTAATTTGATGTAGTGTTTCTTCCTTAATTTTTCCCACATTGTTATTAATGAATCTCTAATTTGATGCCAGTAAAAATACGAACGGGTCCTTTCCCGTTTGTCCCACAAAAAGGCATACCATCCTCTGGAGATCATGTCCCTTGAATACTAATATCCTCTTATTATTTAAATTTATCCAACCTTTCATCCAGAGCAGTGCCGCCGCCTGATAATATAGTTCCCATTTTGGGAGTCCTAGGTCAGAAGTATGTTCTATAGCATGGATGTCAAACTTGATCGGAGTGGCCTGCATGTGATGCAACTGGCCGACAGGCCACCAGTTTGACACCCCCGTTCTATAGTTTGATGCAAACTCAAGTTCTTTAAGAAGGGCATTGCCAATTTCGCAAGCATAGACTTACACTTGTAAAACATATATATTTTTATTGAATATTCTGATGTGTTCATTTGCATGCTCCTTGCATATTGAACTTTTTTTTGGGGTTGCATCTTTACAACGTTGAATAAAAAGCAGTTTGTTTAAACATAAAGCCAGTTGACTTTTCCCCTCAAACTATATTTTGGAAAGTCTATTTAAAATCTTTGTAATTTTTTCTATATATTGGGGAACATAGAAAACGTATTTTTTTTATGCAGTAGGTTATATAAGAGATTATGGGTATCTCACTGATCTTTCCTTCCTTCCTTCTCTGGCAGAATCCCCAAGCTTTGAGAGCTGCCCAGCAACTGGAGTAAAAAGAACATTTAGAATAAATGCCAATGGTCAGTTGAAGACTTGCAACTCCCCTTTTGGCTCTGTTTCACAGAAGGCCAGAGTATATTTTGAAACACGCAAAAATCCAAGGTACATAACATTGTCTCAATTTTTTTGTCATTAACACCTTAATTCTATTTGTTGCAGGTTTTGTATAATATGAAACATTCTGAAATGTAACAAAGCTTAGATGTGATTGCTTAAGTTATAAATGCTGGCAGTCCTCACCCATGGTAACTGAGACCAGGAACTCTGTTGCTCAGCGATACAATCATAAGGTGTGATGTCATATTACCACACCAACTTACAATAACAGTTTCAGCATTCACAGTTACCATCTTTAGCTGAATTTTATGCAATTGCATCATCCTGTAGTCATATGATAGCCATTTGTAACCTCCTGTCAGCTTCCCCATTGACCTTGTTCGAAGCCAGCAATGAAGATTGTTGCTGGACACTGCATGTAATTGCAAGCCAGTTGCCAAGTGCCTGAATTGTGATCATGTGACTTTGAGGACACTGTAACAGGACCTGGTACAGTGTTGTCATTTTGAACAGCTACTGACCAAGTGGACATTAAAGGAAAACTACCTGTAATAGTTTTAATGGACTAATTGGTGAAAGGAGTGTCCATTATTCACAGACATATGCTAAATAGAGAATATATCACTCTGGCTCTGGGTCATTTGGTAAGTTTAAAGCAACAGACTTCACCTGAAACAGATATGTATTTTTTGCCAATTAAAGTCATTGAAGCAGGCTTCAATTGGCATAGCATATTGGTCCATTTCATGGGAAGTTCATTGCAAGTCCAATAATTTGAGATTTAGCTGTACAGGTAGTCCTTGACTTACAACCATTTAGTGGCCAGTTACAGTGATTTATGACCAGTTTTCACACCTATGACCACTGCAGCATCCCTATGGTGATGTGATCAGAATTTGGGCACCTGGCAACTGACACATTTTTATGACAGTTGTACTGTCTCAAGGTCATGTAATCACTATCTAACCTTCCTAGCTGGCTTCCGACAAGCAGTCAATAGGGTAGCCAGATTCACTTAACAACCACATGAGTCACTTAACAACTGTGGTGATTTGCTTAAAAATAGTGGCAAAAAGGTCATAAAATGAGATCACTCACTTAACAGCCTTGTAGCAAAAGAAATTTTGGCCTCAGTTGTCATAAGTTGAGGACTACCTGTATGGATACAAAAGTAGCTATATCAAGTCAGAATTCAGAGACAAACATAAACATTATGGAAGGACTTGAAATAAGCAGATCATACTTGAAAACCTCAAATGTTCTGGAATTGAAGCAGATGAATGAGTGAAGTTTCTTACCCCAATTGCAGGAATATTTGTTTGCAACTTATTGTAGTCAAAAGTGATTATTTTTTCACACTATATCGTATTTCAGTGTGAATTATCATCAAAATCCACTATTTGAATCTTTTATTTGTTTATTCATATTGCCCTTATGTCAGTAGAATCCACATGAAAGCTGTACTGGTGTTAACCTCCAAAAAAGCATTGTTAAATTGATACAGTGATATATAAGTTAAATGTAGAATTTTTTTTCTAATAGAATAGTAACCTATATAACTAGAAACTATGTCAATATGAGTGAATACCGATACTGGAATGCTGTAATGAGTGGAAAAGTGGTGTTTATGTTGGAAATATGACTAATAAAAATTTATTTTAAAAAATAAATCAATACAGTGTGAAATACTGTAGTATCACATCATTTCTTGTTACCACACATTAGTCTGAGTTCATTATGATTTTTTTTTCACTGTACTGTATGTTTGTCTTCTTTAAAGAGAAGAATCATGGTTTGCTAGGGTTTCTAGATGAGTTTTGTCTAGGTTGCATAGAAAACCTGAATGTCTTTATAAGGCTAGCTAAAAAGACATCATTTTTTCCTGCAGTATGACTGCAAATTCCTTTGTAGGAAAATCAAGCCACCATAGTCAAGTTTCTGCCTACGAAAAATCCTTTCCAATTAAGTCCGTTGCTAATCCATCATGTCGTCGGAGCTTACTGAGTCCCAAGAAGTCTCAAAGAAGATTCATCAGCACTGCAGAAGAGGTAGGTGAAAAAGGAAAACAGAAATAAATTGAAGCTGCTTTGGTGGAGGAAGACAGAGTTAAATTTTGTTGGATTGAGAAGTTTATATATTTTCCCGATCTATCTTGTATTATAATATAGATTTTTCCCCAAAGTAATGAAATATCTCACACTGATTTACTTGGTTATCTTAATTTTACAGAAGAGCAGCATTGACATAAATGTCTGGTTGCTTTTAGTTCAACTCCTGGATTTTAGGCTGAGAGAGGAAGTAGTACCTAAAAGAACGGAACAATAAAAAGTAAATAAACTTAGGGGAGTATTTTGGTGAGAAAATCTTAAACAAAGAAAAAGATGAATAAGAAGAAGACATTGTTAATAGATGCCTGTAAATAAAGGCTGCAGATGTGTGAAATGTAAGTGTTAATAGAATAACTATAAGCAAAAAAAAATTTCTGTGGAATGCAATACGCTAAATGAATTTCTGTTGAATCGTTCTTATTTATGCACATGACCATTATTTATCTGTACTCTCACATCATTGAGATTATTTTTGTCCATGGTGATGAGGCTTATGGATGCTTTTCTTAGGATCTTAATTTATTCTGTATATTATATAAACTTTGTCAATGACAAATTAGTTTAAATCACTTTTGCATCCTATAAAATATTATATTTCTGTGTAGACACTCTATTGTACTTTCTGGTAATGTATGGAATTTTTTTCTCCCCAGACAGTTCGGGAAGAAGAGAAAGAAATATACAGGCAGCTGATTCAAATGGTTACAGGGAAAAATCTGTCAACCTTTTCATTATTGTCTCATAACCTGTGAGTCTCTGAAATATATTGAATAATCTGATTGTCTACAAGTTTGTTTCCAAAATTTCTGGCCTTTTGCTTTTGTTTTCAGGACCAAGTGTGGAGGTTCCAATAAAAAAGCTATGAAAGAAACTGAAAACAAATGTATGAAACCTTTTGATATTTGTGGCCCCTCTCTGGGCAATCCGTCATCAAGTTTTCTTAGGATACAAGAGCACCATTCTCACAAACCACTGCCGCAACCAGTTTGTAATTTTACTTCCCATGTTAACTTTGATCCCAAGACCAGTACACCCATACAACAAACAAATCTACCAGCATTGGATGTGCAGACTGAAGGTAAAAGCAACTGATATACTTTGAAATACTGTGGGTTTTATTTCCTGACCCCAAACTCTTGACTTACTATTTTCTCCAGGCCACCTGCACTGTTAATTCTCAGGTGCAAGATTACTTTTTCCAGCCTGGTACATAAATTAACTGAATAAATCTGAATTCAGTCATTGTATTGATTCTGTTTTGGAGAAAATTATTGGTACAGAGTAATGTTAAATCCCGCACTTTGTTTTGTTTGATCTAGGATGTGATTCAATGCTAAATGGCAAAGACTTCAGATCTCCAGCTCCAAGGCAAGTGGACTTTCTGACTTGTAGAAACTACAATTTATTGTTTTGAGGGGAATAGAATAAAAAAAAGGTGAAGTAAATTTGTTGAGTTTAGACTGCCAGAATAATGAGAGGAAATTCATTAACGCTCTATTAATTTCAGAGTGACTTTAGCATTATTTATGATGTTGGGATTGTCCATTTGGCCTTAGTTTACTTTGAATGAAACATCAGTAATTCGTGCAAATTTTGTGGTTTTATGTAGTAAACCTCAAATTTTAGAAGTATTTTTGTGTCTCTCCCCCACCGACTGAATGTTAAAAAGTGTCTCAGATTTTTCTCCAGATTTTCACTGCTTTTCAACTCTGCTGCTATTTCAGAGTGTAGTCCATTTGTAGTACCATTTACTGAAGCATTCTGTTTCCCATGGCTTTTAACTATGCAATATCATTTAAGCAGAAAGTATGACCTTTGCCCAATCATGGGCTCCAATAATGTTCTGAAATTGCTAGTAAATTTTTGGTAGAAAATTTTATCTGGTTGCCAAGTGCACAATTGGACTGAATGTATTGCTCTTGATATTTTCTTCTGTCTTTGCACTACAATTGAACTTAGCTTTAATACTTCTTGTTTCCTTTTTCCTGGAAGAAGCATTAATCCTTTCTACTTTCTGCTTTCCTCGTAGTACACCTTTCTTTGAGGCTGAATTGTGGATAAAAGAATTGTAAGTACATTCCATTTCTAAACCGTATTATACAGTGGTGGTATTCAAATAAAGTTGCTACCGGTTTGGTGGGCGTGGCTTGGTGGGCATGGCTTGGTGGGAGCGCTTTGCACACGTGCACACACTTTGTGTGCACATGCGTGCCAAACGTGCACTTTGCGCAGACACAGAAGCATTTTAACTTGCCTCCTGCAAGCCTGCACGATACCGGTCGCTGCAGCAGCTGCCACGCGGCTCTATTCTGTGCGGCGCAAAGCAGCTGTGCTTCGAATTCTGGCCATAAAAGTGAGTATGGGTTGGCGGGTGGGACAAACACAGAGCAGCAGAGAGAACCAGTTCGGTCTCGGCTGCTCATCGCCACTACCAGCTCTCCAGAACTGGGCAGAACCGGTCGAATGCCACCACTATTATAGTTGTCCTTCATAAACTCATATAATCAGCTATTTAGCTCTTGTATCTCTAGTTTAGCCTTTCTTATCTTCTTGATTTGTCACAGCAACGCTCCAGTTATTCAGAAAGTCAGAAAAAAAATGCTTTTGGTTTTCTTTTCCATTACTGTAAAAATGCTAGGTGTCTGAATTCCTATTGCTAATGAGGAAAGAAAAGTATATGTTAGGTTCGCATATCTTTGTTGTGTAGTACATAGGATCACATATCTGAGAGCAAAGGATATGGGACATGTGGTCTCAAGACTGAAAATATTTAATAGAAATCACTGAAAAATCTGTGTGGGAGATGGGCAGTGAAGTGTGATAAATAAATAACTAAATAAATTGCCTGTGAAATCACTTTTCTTTGAAGAGCTTTCAGGTGTAAATACAAATCTTTTCTGTTTTAAAACAGAAAAGTGAGCATTCAAATCTGAGTACCAAATCTTCTGTACTATTAGATCCTTTCTTATATATCTTTTCAGTTAAATTTGGGCAGTGTTTAGAAGATTGTTGTCACAATTCACCCTTCTGACTTTCTGAATAACTGGAACGTTGCTGTGACATTACTAGAACAAGTGCATTCATTTTTTTCTTCTCCTGTTTACTTTTTAGGGGGCTAGCAGGATACCTTAAAATTGCCCCCGCATGGCCTGAATCTATTTGCTACAGAATGCTACCAGTTTGATCTAGGAATTACCAGTGAAATGCAAAGGAAATCCCAGTGTGCACTATACAAGTTACCTATCTTGAATTAAAGATGTGTGTGGGTATCCAATAGGACTAGCAAATAGCTTAGCAGACATGACACACTCACCCAGCATTCCCCATCCTACATCTCAAAGCAGCTTTCCCATAACGAAGAAACAGAAGCTGAAAGAAATAAGACAGGCATAACTAAAAGTGTGCAAAAATGAGTTTTCATGGCTGGTAATTCTGAATATTTAGTTTATTGTGTACAAATTTCTATCTAGAGCCAGTGTATATGACTCCCGAGCCCGTGAGAGATTGCGACATATAGAGGAGCAGAAAGCCTTGGCATTGCAGTTTCAGAATCAGGTGAGAAAAGTCAACATGATTATTGTTTTTAAAAGCTCATCATTGAAATTACCGGTATATCAGAGCTGAGAAAGTTGTCTGATTTTCCAGGTGCCTTCTGTCTTTGCTATGAATGATAATACTTGATGCAACTGGATACATAGTTTCCCTTAATATTGCTATCTGAATACTTTGCTTTACCTTTAATGTATGTTAGTTAACCCATGTCCTTATTGGTCATCGTTTCATAGGTATTAACTTTCATAACTAGAATAAGAGAATGACCATAGGTAACCAAAAAAGAAGTGGAAGTGATGCCTGACTTCCTGCTGGCTTCCCCGTTGACTTTGCTTGTGGGGAGCTGGCAGGGAGTGTCAGTCAAAATCACATCACCATGGCGGCACTGCAGAGCAGTACATCAGTCTTGCTGCAGTGGCCACAAGTTTCCCATTACAGCTGGTCTGAACATCCTTGAAATTTAAATCCCACAGGAGCAATGGGTCCTAGATATTGGATGCATTCTTTAAATTGACCTGTGTAAGGTATCTTGATTAAAACATTGTTGCCGTATAGTGCACCATTTCACCTAGTTGAAGGTTAGAGATGAAGAGGTTTATAGATTAAATTGGAAATTGAGAAGTTAAGATATCAGCAAGCTTGACCATATTTATGAATAGTCATTAGATTTCCTGTTGTTCATATGGGCTTTAACTTCAAATAACTGTAATTCCAGATAGGTTTGATGACTGCATCCTTCTGTACATCAACTAATGTAAGAAATCCAGACAATGGAGGTGGGCAATTTGATAGCAATTCCTGTCCACAGACATCTGAGATTGACCACTTGATGTGATGCTACTAAGTGTCACTATTTTAATGATTTTTTTAGAGACTGAGACTGCAGAAAGAGATCTCAGTACCCGAGTCAATAAACTTACATCTTCGAGTTCCTCTTGAAAAGGAAATTCCTGTCATTGTTCCAGAAGATAATAAGACAGTGGATAGCGAAGATGAATTTCCTGGAATTACAGAGGTTAGTTTTCAGATTAATGGTAAAAATCTTGATGCCTTGGTGAAATAATTACCTGGACAGTAGTTTATAGAAATGAACATTTGTTGTGGTAAAAGTTGTTTTTAAGCTGTGTCTCTTCATAATGCATCTCTGTGATAACATGCTCTGTCCTGTTTTGAAATTCTCTATTTCATCAAAAGCTAGATTTTGGGGGGATGGTATTTTAACCTAATTGGATATTGCTGGTAGTTGTGTTTGCTATGTTATCTGCTTTTCTTTGGGGGGGGGGACCTTTTAATTTCAAACTAATTAAATTAATAATTAAAACATTTCCAGACTTTTCCCAAAAATATTTGTAGAACATAATTATGTTAAATCTTTTTCAATATATAATAATTTTCCTGATCCATAGCCTTCCCCTCCCAAATTTTGCGTATGTCTAATATGTATTTCTTCTCTTTGTGTTCTCACTCTGCATTTTGGCACTATCCTTCATAATGAAGTTTTTCATTAGGAGTCTAATTTTCAGCTTGGATTAAAAACATCAGTGAAACTCAGTTCTCTTTCCTGTTAACCATTTATAGGAAATGGAGAAAGAAATAAAAAATGTGTTACGAAGTGGAAACCAGGATGAAGTGTTGAGTGAAGCCTTCCGATTAACCATCACTCGGAAAGACATTCAGACCCTTAAGCATCTCAACTGGCTCAATGATGAGGTAAATATTCAGTCTCTGTTTCAGACGTAATTTTTAAACTCATGAATTGTCAGTTGTAAAGGCTCTTTGAGTCCATCCTCTACAGGTATCCCGAAGGGTGGCTGTGTAGCCATCATTCAAATACACTCACCACTGCTCTAGATAATTGGCTATACTGTTTAACTGCTCTCTCTCTTCTTACTGTTTGGAATTTTTCCCTTAGCATTCAGTTGAAATTTGCTTTTTAAAAATAACTTACATCCATTTCTCTCTATTGTGTAATCTAGTGAGATTTGTACAGTTAATCCTTAAGTCATGTTCATTTATTCAGTGACCATTTGAAATTACAGAGGCACTGAATTAATGGCACTTGCCCAGTCTGCAAAGTTATGACAGTTGCAGTGCCCCCCTCAGTACATGACAAAATATGGGTGCTTGGCAGCAGCCCTCTCATATTTAAGACTGCAGAGCTGCTTCAACTTTCCCCATCCCTTGGCTCTCCCCTCCATCTCTGCCCTTTGGCCCCCTGCCCTCCGCAGCTGCTGCCCTCCTGTGTTCCATCATCCCCAGATGACCTTTGTCATCTTCTTACTCCCACTGCTAATCAAGCAATTCTGGCCTGACCCTTTGAGAGTCCTTCTTGAAATCATGCATATTTTCTTCATGAGACCTTAGGAAGAAGGGCTTGCGTGGCAGCAACTCTCTAGCGAAGGGCCAGACTGGGTACACCCCATCAGCAGTAAGGTATTTCCTAAAAAGAGAAACACAGTGACCAAAGGCAGGCCACACACACACACAAAAAAGCCATTGGAGAAGAAGCAGTTTCTGATTTCCTTCTGGCTTCCCCATTGAATTTCTTTATTAATGTGGCAGGGATCATTGGAATCTTCCTTCTTTCCTTTCTTCCCCTTCCCTGCAGGAAAGTAAGTGGCTGCTGCTGGATGGGGGAGAGAGTGAGGGATTGTGAGACTGGCTGGGAAACCCATGACAGGTGAAAATGAAAATCACATGATACAGCAACAGCACAGCAGCAGTAGATAGCATTGAAGCACCTACAACTTCCCCAAATTTAATTACTTTAGGAGTCATGGGTCCTGGACTTTGGATGCATTCTGTAAATTAGCCCATTAAGGGCACTTGGTTCAAAAAGTGTTGCCTTATGATGCAGTGCTTCACCCAGGTTATGACATAAAGAGTTTTAGTGGTATACACCTGTAGGTAGATGCTTTTTAGGAATAGAGAAGAGCTGTTTTGAAGAAGAAAAAAACCCAAATACTAACGTGTATTTCTCTCACACACAGATTATTAATTTTTACATGAATATGTTGATGGAGAGGAGTAAACAGAAAGGCTTTCCAACCGTTCATGCATTTAACACGTTTTTCTTCACCAAGTTAAAAACTGCTGGATATCAAGCTGTAAAACGTTGGACTAAAAAAGTAGATATATTTTCTGTGGACATTCTATTGGTTCCTATTCACCTTGGTGTCCATTGGTGTCTAGCAGTGAGTATGTTATGCATATATGTGTAAGTGTTCAAGTGAATTTACACCAGTTCTTTCAAATGTTCCTTTTCTGTTCTGAATGCATTCTAAATTCATTCTTTTATGGTGGCTTTTCATTTTTGCATTTTTACTTTGCCAACTGCTTGCTTTTTGAATGCTTTTCCTGCACTATCCCAAATGTGTCAAAAGTATATATTTCTGGGTAAGATTGTGCCAATGTCTTGATACAAAATTTTTGTCTTGTTTAGGTTACTGACTTCAGGAAAAAAACCATCACTTACTACGATTCAATGGGTGGATCCAACAGTGAAGCTTGTAAGATACTCTTGTGAGTATCTCTTTTACATTAAACATGTTCACGTTTTCCTCATGATCTTAGAATTGATAGAAACAATCTTCATACCAAGTGGTTGTTGCTGTTATAACAGAGAGAGAGAGAGATGAGAGATCCCGGTGTTCTGGGATCTAGCTAAATATGGGTATTGTGGGTATTGATATTATTAAACATTTTAACATTAACATAGC